AAAAAAAAAACTTTTCTCCGGCTTTTGCCTTCCCACAATTTACACCCCACATGCTGTCCCTGTGAAAGTCTGGAACTGAGTACAAGGTTGACTGTCTCCCATTGGGGCGTTAAAGGAATAGGAACGGACCGCCTCAGACCTGAGCTCCCAACACCCTGCCCGAGGCCCCGCCCCCAGGCCCCGCCCCAGGCCCCGCCCATCCCGCGGCCCAGCCTCAGGCCCCGCCCACAGGCTGCCCGGGCTTCTCTCTCCGCGCATGCGTGGTTTCCCGCAGTCCCGGAAGCCGATCGTGTGGAGTGAACTGATGCTGCGGAGTGTGAGTGTCCCCCTGTCTAGATTAACCCTGCACTTCGCTGTCTTCCGTCTTCCATACCCGGTGCCCGGGGGTCGCTATGAACCTTAAAATCCCCAAACCCCCTCCTCCACCCCAGGTAAATTCAGGCCTCGCGGTCCCTTTGGTTTAAAATTGCTCTGAGGCTGGTGCCCCCTCTTTGTGCCTTCGGACCAGGTAAACACCGCCCTTCACATTCTTTTTTCTTAAAACTCTTCACTGATCTCTCCGCCCGCACCGCGCTTTTTAAAATTCTCACCACTCGCGAGGTGGATTCACGCCCTTTGCGCCACTCAGCCGTCGCCCTCGTCGGCCCCTGGAGGAGGCGGCCCTCAGTTCAGGAGAGGAGCGTCCTCTGCCGGGTCCTGGGAATCTGCAGACCCCACCCCTCTACTAAGGCACCACGCCCCATCGCTCCTCCTCCTCAGGCCTGATCCTGCTCCCCAGGCCTCCTCTTCACAGTCACCGCGTCCCCTGACCCCCCCTTTGGGGAGGTGACCGGGGCCTGTCTTGTGACACCCAGCGTTCTTAGATGCCCAGTTGCACCCCACTGGAAAATGCTGCTCTTCCGGGAGGCGGGCATCTTACTCCATCCCCCTCCCTGTGAATCTGTGGGCAAAGGGGATCAGGAGAAAGAGAGAGCAACTGAGAGAGAAAGAGAAAAACTGAGAAAGAGAAAAAAAGAATGAGGGAAATCTGTCAACAAATGTCAAACGATAGAGAATATTGGAGGAATGTGCAAAGAGACAGAGTGAAAGAAGAAGCAGAGAAAGTAGTAGGGGGAGAAAAGCAACTGGAGAAATTTAGAGAAAAATTCGATGTGCAGAGAGATGAAGGACAGCAAAATAGGGAGAGGGGCAGCAAAGGGGGAGGCACTCAGACAGCTAGTGGGGCCAGAGGATGGATGATTTGGAGCCAGGGCAGACAGCAGCGCGGTGCTGGGACAACAAGAAGGGGCACCTGGTGACAAGGAGAGCAGAGGGGGAACCACAGCAGGGAGGAAGCCTAGGGACCTGGAGGTGCCAGAGAGTGGGGACAAGGGGTGTAACAGGGAAGAAGGAATTTAACAGGGAGAGCAGAGGAGGAGCAGAGATGGGGTAAGAAAGAGGCAGAAATAATATGGGGACTGCGGACAATCATAAGATGGGGGAGAAAGTGGAAGAAGAGGGGAAACAAGTTGCAAGAATGGAACAGAGAGGTACAAGAGAAGCAGAGAAAGAAAGGGAAGAAAGAGCAGGAGAGGAGAGGGCCACAAATGAAGAGCAAACCCAGGAAGAAAACACCAAAAAGAAAGGGGGAAAAAAGAGCTAGGGAGAGAAGGTGAGAATGAAAGATACATACAGAATGAGGGAGGGAAATACACAGGAATGAAGAAAGACGGGACCCTGGGTCCACATTAGTGGTGAGGAATACAGAGATAATTGGATATGATGATTGTAATTAGCATTGTAATTGCCATTTTAAATGGATACCAGTCCTCCAATAATGAAAAAAGAAAAGAACAAGAATGGAACGGGCTGAGACAGAGAGAACATCTACAGAGACCTTTCTCTGCATCAGGATTATCAGGGCTAAATCTAAAGGCAGGTCATGTCGGTCCCTGGCATTGGGCCCTCCTCTGGCTCCCCATGTTCCTCAGGACAAATCCAGATCCTCCCTGTGGCTCCACAGCCCTGTGTCATCGGGGCCCCGCCAGTGTGTGCAGCCTCCTCCTGGGAGCTCACCCTCGTCACGGCTCACTCTGCCCCAGTCACATTCGACATTTCTCTTTTTCCAAACACAAAAACCTTCCCTGTCTCAGGTCTTTTTCTTTCTCTTTCCGTTTGTCCCTAAATCGTCATGGCTCTGTCCCCTTTTCCTCCTTCAGGTCTAGGCTCAGAGATGTCTCCCAGTCCCTTTGCCAGTCAGTCTTTATACCATGTTACTCAGGTTTTATTGGCTCTGCATTAATCTGTCCGAAATGCTCTTCTGCATTGATCATTTTGAGCATTTTGTGTTTTCCCTGCATTGAGGGATGCAGTCCCCATCTTGTTCACAGGACGACTGCACCACCTGCTCTGGGACTGTGGGTGTGGCTGAGTGGACCTCAGGGAAGACCAGGGGGACAGGGCAGGTCATAAAGATGGACCCATGTTTCTTTCAGAAAATTCAGTTCTCATTGATCTAAACTTCCTGTGGCTACTTATTTTACTCAGAATGAGAGCAAAAGGATGTACTGAGGCCTACGAAGCCCTACAGACCTGTGTCCTCAAGCACGTGTTGAGGTGTCCCCATTTTAGCCATCTGTGTCACTGCTTTGCTCCGGCTCCTGGGTCTTCCAGGCTCTGCACATCACCAGGGACCAGTTGCATGTATTTAAAATATAGGAGATTGTTTGTAAGTGTATTATTTTATAATATAAAGAAAAAATTACACGTTTACTCAAAACAGATGAGAACCTACATCTTTTCCAAAATTCTTTCAAAGTTTGGGAGGAAAAAAGTTTCGGAGACCTGGGCCCTCCCTGCTCTGCTTCCCAGGACCTCTGTGATCTTGTGTCCTGCTCGTGTCCTCCCTGGTTGGCTCTGCTTCAGCCGCACAGGCTTGTTTCCTTTTCCTGGGGCCAAAATGGCTACTACCTTGGGGCCTTCTCCTGGGCTGTCCCTCTGCCTCGAACTTTGGGGCCCCTCAGCTGCAGGTGGCAAACACTCTTCCTTTTTTCCTTGAGTCTTTGTTCTGATATCATATTCTCAGTGGAGACTTCATTTGGGCTCCATTTAACATGCCAGCCACACCCTCACCACCCACCTCTCGTTTATATTGGCTACTGTGTGTGTGTGTGTGTGTGTGTGTGTGTGTGTGTGTGTGTGTCTGTGTGCTTGCGTGCGCACGCACATTCCTTTACCTTCCATAACCCAGATACAGTTCACAGGGCACAGCAAAGCCAGGAGGTGGGAGATGTGCTGGGCTTGCCCCACCGAGTGGAGCTCAATCCTGGCTTCACATTAGAGTGCCGAGGCATTTTGGAAGTACATTTCTTGTGCGCCCTTACCAGAGATTGCCCTTGAAATAGTCAGATTGCAACCATCTTTCAATAATATTTATAATGCCCCAAGTGTTTCCAGTCTGTGTCTAGCGTTGAACACCACAGCTCTGTGTCCTTCGTTTCTGAGGGCTGAGATCAGCCTGTGATCCACGGAGGGGTGAGGGGGGCTGTGCTCTGCATCGGGTTTGATCAAGGGCGGGTCTGATCCCTGAAGGGGGGCTCAGCCCAGCCCAGCTCCCCACCGCTGCAGCGTGAGTGTGGGCTTCACCAGGAGGGGAGCGAGTTCTGAAGAAAGGGGTCAAAAACTTACTTGTTCTTCCTGTAGGAGTTTACTGTTCCTGCATCTCTCATTGTGCAGTGGGCAACAGAGGACCGTCTTTCCACTTGGTGATGTCTTGCCTGTATATGGAGTTGTGGCACAGGAAGGGAAGTATGGGTTGTGAACAGTAAACAGCATATTTTTGACATTCAGGATTGACTGTTAATGACTCATTTTACATGTGGAAGAAACCCAGAAGAGGAGGAAGAGGAAAGAAAAGGATTCAGGAATGGCTCTTACTCAGGTAAAGTGATATTCTTGGTGGATTGTTCTGTGTCTCCCTCCTTTCTGACATGGCGGGCACTGGAGTTGCTGATCTTCTCTGACTCTGCAGCGTCCTGCCTGACGTGTTTGCTCACACCCACCCCTGCCTTCCCTCAGTCCCTCTCATCTCCTCTGAGATTCCATCTCGCTGTGACCCACTGACAGGACCTTCTGAAGAGGGTACATTGGGCATGGTCCTGGGAAGGGTTTCTCTCCCGGACACGGATTGGAGATGGGGTGTGGGCCCCCTGGTGTCAGTGCTGTTGGGAGCAGGGACTGTTTAGGGGCCACATCTGGATGCACTGTCAGCTCTCTGTAGAAGAGGATTAGAGAAGCTGCCCATGAAAGTCATGTGTTAATGTGGACATACTGTTATTTAGAGTGGCTATACTAATTTATATTCCCTGAAGAGTTCCCTTTTCCCAACATACTCACCAGCATCATTTATTTTTTATCTTTTTTAATAAACAGCCATTCTATCTGTGTTAAGATGATATCTCATTGTGATTTTGATTTGCATTTCCTTGATGATTAGTGATGTTGAGCATTTTTTCATGTACCTATCAGCCATTTGTATGTTTTCTTTTGAGAAAGCTCTATTCATGTCATTTGCCCACTTTTTAATGGAATTATTTCTGTTTTTACTGTTGAATTGTTTGAGTTCCTTGTATGTTCAGGATGTTAGTTTCTTGACAGATGCATAGTTTGCAAATATTTTCTCCCATT